ATTTGCATGTCACACATTTTTCTTATACATGTGTATATTCTTGGTATTCGACACGTACATAGCGAAATTCTCACAAAACAAAAAGTTTACGTTCCGCCAATTTCTCTATGCGCTTGCTAGACTGAAGACTGTATGCATGCCCAAATTTCTGTTAAAATCAGAGCAGCACAAGGTTAACAATACACTGTCGAAATCCTGGGAAACATGTTTACCGGTCAACAAGATTGCGACTTGAGCACGCGTCAACGACAACATGAACGTCATAATCTCTCTCCAGCAGTTCCAGCACCGTGGCCTGTACACAAGCGTGTGCCTCTATCCCACATATAATGATGGACTTTACATCTGTGGGGGAGGACAAAATCACATAATATAATGATGGACTTTAGATCTGAAGGAAGGACAAAATCACATAATATAATGATGGACTTTACATCTGCGGGGAGGACAAAATCACACACACACACACACACACACACACACACACACAATTTTAACTGAGGAACGTCCGTGGTGACGCACATAAGTCAATAAAAAACAGCAAACTTGGCTAAAATTCCCCGAGGATTTCCGTGCTGCACATGGTGGTTTTGTCTATTTTGAAAGCTTTGCAGTACGCATTGGTAACCCATTAACACTTTCATTGAAAACAATTTTGAAACATTCCTTGCTGTCTTTTTTCTTCGGATTTTAACAAAACCAGGGCTGTCTGTCAAGGTGGTGCTTAACTTATGTTGAACAAGTATGCCTGGCCCACAGATTTGAAGTGTCCAAATGCAGAATTCAACGTGGAACGAAAGCAGTATCAAGATTCTGGGACTTTCATAGAAAACCGTGAGACGGCTACATATTATAATGGACGACTAAAAGCTGGTGAGTCTGCTGAACATTTGGCAACTGTTACAGGGTTGCTTGTCTCCACCATCTAGATCTAGATCTACAGTATACAGAACTGGTTTCGCGCAAGCAATGCAGCCAGTGATCTCCTCAGGGCCGGTAGACGAAGGGCGGTAACTGCAGCTCAGGATCGCCTCATGGTGCGTCAATACCGGATGGACCCGTTCCTGACAGCCGCTGAGTCCACCAGGAACACCGTCGGACGAAGAGGACGGACACTGAGTACTAAAACTGTACAGCGGAGATTGCACTCCACAGGACTCCAGTGCAGACAGCCATGTCGCAGGCCACTACTGGCCCCTCAGCACCGCCGTGACCGGCTTCTGTGGGCACCATAGATTTAGTGGGCACAGACTCACATGGCCAGGATGAGCAGACAATGGAGAAGGGTGCAGCTCGCAAGAGCAGAATCTGCCATGATCCGGGAAAAGGGCGCATCCGTGTGTGGCGCACAGATATGAGGTGCTACTCTAATTATGAAAAAGACGTGGAGAAAGACCCTTGGGGAGGGTCAAGCATCATGATTAAGGGAGTCATCGCTCTAAATCAACGAACTGGACAAGTCTTTTTCAAGAAAGTGGGTCATGGACAGGAAAATTGGGTTACAGCTCAGCGCTACATTGAACAAAATTCTTCAGCCTCATGTGGTGCCCTTTATCTAGAGGCATCTAAATTTCTCTTACCAGCAAGTCAATGCGAGACCCCACACTGCCCGTACGACACAGCCGTTACTAGGGCAGATCAATATAATCAATCTTTTGCTCTATCTGCTTGTTCACCTGACCAAAACAGCAATCAAGCATGTTTAGGACGCTATCCAGAGGCAGCTCAACCACCAGCAACCACGACCACGGACAACTCCTCACTTGATTGGCTAGGTTTGAGTTCAGATCTAAGGTCGACAAATAAGCACTCCGGTGAACTCTATGGGTCGAAGATGCAGAGCGGTTATTTCAACCAGCGAAGGTCACCTAGGGTCCTGATTTTTCTGTTCAAATGTCAAGATAACAGAAAAAAACACAGTGGCGCTTAAACCACTTTTAAACATCCACCAATTGACATTCTCATGGCTCTATAAATTTGTCGAATTCAAATCTCATCTACACCTGACAAACCCCTGTTGAGTGCAGAGTGTATTATTCATGCTTTTGTTATTCGTGTTTCTTTTGCCTCTTTTGCTTCTTACTTTTTGTGCAGCTAGAAGTTAACACACACACACACACACACACACACACACACACACACACACACACACACACACACACACACACACACGCACTGCGCGCGCACGCACACATACAC